ACAAGAAGCACATTCGATTAAAACGCTGCTCTTGATTTATTTTGGCTATAGGCAAATAGCATGCTTTAAGTTGTTTTACACCACACCATATACAGGCATCCGAAAATTCGAAGTGAGCACAGTCATCTATGTGAAAAAAGTCGCAGCTGCAAGATTTGGCTGATATGTTGATAGCAGCATCTGTTATTCACAGGTGTGTCTTTTCACAAAACCCAAGCGGTAGCACAGACCTGCTATATTACTTGCCTGTAATCCTCACAAGATTGATAAATCAAAAACCATGTACTAATTAAGGCTAAAGCATTTGACTGCAAAACACACGCGCGCACACACACACACACACAAGAAACTGCCTACCATGAGAAAAGTTCAGTTGTGAAGAGAACAACAATAGAAAGGATCGAGCCAACATTTAGTTGTCCTACCTTGCTAAATTCATATTAGACTGGCTATATATGTCACAAGATTTAAACAAGTTTGGTACATCAGCAACATAGCAAACACATCCAACTTTCATGTGCAAATACACTGGACACATCCTTCAAGCACAACTTTTTTTTTCTCTGTTTCTAAGCAAATACCAATGTCAGATGGTTTCTTGAATAGTTTTGATGTAACACACACATGAGCACACACACAGAGCCTGGCAGTTTATTGACATGCACCAGTGTAAAATACATGCCATTGTTGCATTTAAAAAGTGTCGCTTATTACAACATTGTCGCGTGCCGCATCTGCAGTCCGGTCGGAATCGCTGAGCGAGTTTTCCTCGAAGCCGTAAGTGTCGTCGGGATCAGAATTTTCATTGCTGTCACCATGCGCATCACTCAGACTTCACGTGTCGAAGGCCGCTACTCCAGAACATGGGTTCTTGAATAGTTTTGATGTAAGCCTCACACACATGAGCACACACACAGAGCCTGGCAGTTTATTGACATGCACCGGTGTAAAATACATGCCATTGTTGCATTTAAAAAGTGTCGCTGATTACAACATTGTCGCGTGCCGCATCTGCAGTCCAGTCGGAATCGCTGAGCGAGTTTTCCTCGAAGCCGTAAGTGTCGTCGGGATCAGAATTTTCATTGCTGTCACCATGCGCATCACTCAGACTTCACGTGTCGAAGGCCGCTACTCCATAACATCAATTACCAGCTAAAGACTGAAGAATGCTCTTGCTGAGTGTAGCTGGTTGGCCGACTGGGCGCTTCCACCGCTCCTTGTCCGATGTACTACATAGTGCGATCCAGGCTCCAAATAGCATTTTTTTTTCTTCTTTTTGATCGAGGGTGGGGTTGAGTTGAATCCATCTCTCGTCGAACTTGACGCAAACTTCAAGTAGCGCACTTGATGGTGTCCACGCAAAGTGAGGCTGCCGGACTGATAATAAGTAAACGGGTAAAGATCGATTACATCGACCAAGGCTTCACATTCACAACCTGCTTGCTGTGCCTTGAATGTTAAGCACGTGGCGCGGATTTTGTCATAAACTATAACATGTGCCGCGAGATCACGGCGCGAGGTAGTGACTCTACAGAACCCCTCGCGTGGTGAAGGTGTATTGTACTGTGGTCGCCACGGAGAAAGGTGGTAGTCGCCATGGTGGTCGCTGACTGCCATTATGGCTAGATGATTGTAGCCATATTATTCTGATATATAAATGGATGAATGGATTGATACGGCTGTACCCTTTAATATGGGCGGCGGCTAACGCCACCTAGCCTAACCAACGCGAATATGGCGACACAGCGCATGACCTCTGAAATCGCCGCTGCGCGCCCGTCATTGCGCGTTTGCCATCTCGAAGGCTATGCACAGCGTCACTTTTTACAGTAATTGCATTCATTGTTTATATAATATTTGCTGTGAGCTCTAAAAAAACTACCCTCTAAGGTTGTAAAAACATGAAGTAAATGTTTTGCAAATAAATATTTTTGTTTTCAAAAACTAAATTGCGTTGTGTTGAGGAAGAAGTCGTGGACTCGTGTTTGCATAAACTACTTGGGAGATCCACAAATGGCACTGCCATCGTCATCAATAGCATGTTCGTGGCGGCCTTGGTGCGTGTGTGGTGCATGTGAACATTGTTGCGTCTCTTAATTGCTCAGTATTGCGCCTGTACACTCGCAATTCTCCAAGATGTTTGGTTTCGCGATAATAAATAAAAATTAATAGTCCCGGTAAGTGCATGTAAGTACATCAATCCGAAGGATACAGGCAATTTTGATCCTCACAAGTGGTACCGGGTGTTCTGGAAGGATAACACACACTGCGGCCACTATCACGCTCGAGTGATTAAGCTTTACGGTAAGTCCGCGCCTCTTGTATTCCCAATACGAAAACAAGAGGAAGAAGCAGTCGTTCTGAAGTTATTTACTGGTCATATTTTCTTAGGCACCGAAGATGATGCAAGGAATGCAACAGAAAAATGACCATCCATTACGCAGACCCGATTGCGACTCCTCCGATGGCTGCAGTTCAAATGAGGTGGACAATGAGTCGTTTAAAAAGTAAGTTGCAATTGGTAACACTGCAGCTGATATGCTACTTGCAGTGTAATTATTACCAACAGCCAAGTTTGGCTATCGTTGACATTGCGGCTGATGTGATACTACGGCGCAATTACAATCGACAGCCAATTTTGCTCTGCTGGTGGTGACGTGTCACACATGAAGTACCAATGCTCTGATATACTCCCCGCCGCCCTAGCGAATATATCAGAGCATCGCTGCTCCGCTACCTGCGCGGGCGCCGGAACGTCATATTGAAGGTGTTGGTAAAATTGCAGTATGCTAAAGAGCTGTTTTATTTTATTATATTGTGGTATGAGCGCAGCTTAGTCGCATTTTTTTTTTACAATTGACTGGTTTAATATTATTTTTGCTTGTGCGGATATACGCCCTGCTTGTGCTTGCGAACTAGCAGTGAAATTTGTGTGTTGGGTTGTCTGCAGTTGTAAGAAACACGACGTCAAGCTGCTGTTAAGCAGAAGACAAAGCACGTCAGCAACCGTTTTAAGAAGCAGCAGGGAGGCCTGCTGTTTGCTAATGCTGAAAAAAAGAACAGAGAAAGAGCTTCTGAAAGAAGTGAATATATATGCTCGGGGCTCAAAATACAAAAGCATTAGAAAGAATAAGCCTAATGGAAAATGCCCTTTGCAGCAAAAATTTCCAAACAGGTTTATCATTTCTTCATAAGCTGTTGTAACGCACTGCTGCTAGGGTTGTATGCAGCAGCAAGTTGCCCTATTCTTAAAGCGTGCAATTTTGCTGAAAAGCAGAATGCAATGTAAGCTCATGGGTGGCATGGATGCATGCATGTTTTTCCAATCACTTGAAAATGTGCTTTTACAACTTTCACAGTGTGGTGGATATTAAAAAGAACACCATTTCGTCAAAATTTCTTGAGCCTTCCACTACGACATCTCCTATAATCAAACCATGGTTTTGAGACGTAACATGCACTGTATCGTTACACTTTAATTGCATATCTCAATTGCATGCTACGTTTATCATATATTTTATTTGACCATGCACGCCTAGGATGCTACCGTGACAATTAAGGGTGCAATATACTTTATTTCTGTACATCCTACTTTTTCATTGCAGCAAAGAACCGTCTCTTTTGCGGGTGTTGCAGCCGCAAGCCTCAAAAACAGAAACGACTTGCACCTTTGCCACCACTATGTGCTGCCACGCTGGAACCACCACAGCGACCAGGGACAGCCTTGAAGTAGCCCACTCAAGTGTGAGGGAGGCTGCACCACTTATCAATTATGTGCCTACTGACAGAGAGGTATCATAAACCTCTAGTATGCTTTGTCTTGAAGATATATTGTTTTGCTTTAATGAGAAAATGTGCATTGACAAACTTATGTGTGCACATCATCTTTGACTTGTTTTATAGGTGCATCGGAGCAAAGAAATTGCCGTTCCCAAGAGGTTGTACAATCACCCCATGGGCTTGAAAAGACAGACCCGTTTTGTTCGTGAGGCGGCCGTTACCATTTTTTATACAGCAGGCCAAGTCAGTAGAAGTGTTACTGGTGCAGCCTCCAATCGGTCTAAAGGGGAGGCGAAATTTCCCTAGGAGAAAGAAACATATGCTGTGTTTTCAGGTAGGTGAAATTTTGTAATCTGACCAAAATTCATGGAAGTTGGTTGCTCCATTTTTGCACGTAATCAGCCGAGGTTTCACTGCCATTTTGTGTTATAATTACTTACTAACGCTTCAAGTGTGCTTTTGCCTACTGGAGCTGGGTACTTTTATGCAAGAATCCACAAACTAATTTTAAACAATAATAGAGAGGCAGGCTGGTAGCACTCCTACTTATTTCCTTGTCATATTGACTCCTCTATTTAGAGTGCACATAATTGTCGCTTAATAAGTGCCCATAACTTGGTTTGTTTTTGATCATGCAGATTTCTTCAACCATTTTTTCGAAGCACACCGTTCTGATTGGAAAAGTTGAACAAATGAAGAAGCTCCTCAATAAAGCTTTGGCAAACAAAATTATTGACTTTATGAAATCAAAAGATTAACCAAGGAATGGCTCATCAAATAAAATATTTTGTTTGATTTTTGTGTTCATATTTGTGTCCTGCTTGCTCTGATGTAGCGGTGCACCTGCCAGTTGGCTAAGCACCGATTCGCTTGTGGACTTATCAGAGTAGAATGCTACACTTATAGGCTGGCACACGAGTACTGGTACACTGATAGACTGGTACACTGATAGACTGCTACACTGATAGACTGATACACTCATAGACTGATTCACTCATAGACTGATACACCTATAGACTGATACACCTATAGACTGATACACCTATAGACTGATACACCTATAGACTGATAAAACTGTCAATAACCTGATAGCCTATCAGTTTATCAGAATTTCAGCATCAGTGCACTGATGCTGAAAACAAAGAACAGAGAAAGAGCTTCTGAAAGAAGTGAATATATATGCTGAGGGCTCAAAATACAAAGGTATTAGAAAGAATAAGCCTACCGGAAAATGCCCTTCGCAGCAAAAATTTCCAAACAGGTTTATCATTTCTTCATAAGCTGTTGTAACGCACTGCTGCTAGGGTTGTATGCAGCAGCAAGTTGCCCTATTCTTATAGCGTGCAATTTTGATGAAAAGCAGAATGCAATGTAAGCTCATGGGTGGCAGGGATGCATGCTTGTTTTTCTAATCACTTGTAGATGTGCTTTTACAACTTTCACAGTGTGGTGGATATTAAAAGGAACATCACTTGGTCATAATTTCTTGAGCCCTCCACTATGGCATCCCCTATATCACACCATGGTTTCGAGACGTGACATGCAATGTACCATTACACTTTAATTGCATATCTCAACTGCATGCTATGTTTATCATATATATTGTTTGACCATGCACGCCTAGGATGCTACCGTGACAATTAAGGGTGCAATATACTTTATTTCTGTACATCCTACTTTTTCATTGCAGCAAAGAACCGTCTCTTTTGCGGGTGTTGCAGCCGCAAGCCTCAAAAACAGAAACTGACTTGCACCTTTGCCACCACTATGTGCTGCCACGCTGGAACCACCACAGCGACCAGGGACAGCCCTGAAGTAGCCCACTCAAGTGTGAGGGAAGCTGCACCACTTATCAATTATGTGCCTACTGACAGAGAGGTATCATAAACCTCTAGTATGCTTTGTCTTGAAGATATATTGTTTTGCTTTAATGAGAAAATGTGCATTGACGAACTAATGTGTGCACATCATCTTTGACTTGTTTTATAGGTGCATCAGAGCAAAGGAATTGCTGTTCCCAAGAGGTTGTACAATCACCCCATCGGCTTGAAAAGACAGACCCGTTTTGTTTGTGAGGCGGCCGTTGCCATTTTTTATACAGCACGTCTAGTCGGTAGAAGTGTTACTGGCCCAGCCTCCAATCGGTCTAAAGGGGAGGCGAAATCTCCCTTGGAGAAAGAAACATATGTTGTGTTTTCAGGTAAATGAAATTTTGCAATCTGACCAAAATTCATGGAAGTTGGTGGCTCCATTTTCACACGTAATCAGCCGAGGTTTCACTGCCAACTTGTGTTATAATTACTTACTAAAGCATCATGTCTAGCTTTTGCCTATTGGAGCTGGGTACTTTTATGCAAGAATCCACAAACTAATTTTAAACAATAATAGAGAGGCAGGCTGGTAGCACTCCTACTTATTTCCTTGTCATATTGACTCCTCTATTTAGAGTGCACATAATTGTCGCTTAATAAGTGCCCATAACTTGGTTTGTTTTGGATCATGCAGATTTCTTCAACCATTTTTTTGAAGCACACCGTTCTGATTGGAGAGGTTGAGCAAACGAAGAAGCTCCTCAATAAAGCTTTGGCAAACAAAATTAATGACTTGATTAAATCAAAAGGTTAACAAAGGAATGGCACATGAGATAAAATATTTTGTTTGATTTCTGTGTTCATATTTGTGTCTTGCTTGCTCTGATGTAGCGGTACACCTGCCAGTTGGCTAAGCACAGATTCGCTTGTGGGCCTATCAGAGTAGAATGCTACACTTATAGACTGGTACACCAGTACTGCTACACTGGTAGACTGATACACTGATGGACTGATACACTCATAGACTGATACACCTATAGACTGATACAACTGTCAATAACCTGATAGCCTATCAGTTTTTCTATCAGAATTTTTGCTAGGGGAGTCACTACTCGGAAATGCCTTGTATGACCAGTGTGCAGAAAATAAAAGGTTTTCATTAAGATACCACTCGGGATTCTCGTCCCTGGAATGATGGTTAGCCTTAGAAGGTGTTGCAAACAGTGGCTATCTCACAACCTAGTTCATCGTTTCACTCTTCTACCATTTCACATCAATAAAATGTTTCAGTGCCGTAATGCGCTCACTTTCGGTACCCTGTCGATATTTCAGTTCAGTCGCGCACCCGCGTCGGCATCCAATAATTCCAGAAGCTTATTAGCATATTTTCTCGGTCGCAATTTGAAACCATGCACGAGCAACAAAATACATTTTGCATGTTTCGCGTTCCCCACGCTCGTGGTTGATTCCCGTCTCATACATTCGCAGCGCATCGCCAGCTTGAGTGACGTGCAAACGTGTGCCAGCGCCATCTGGCGGTTTCCTCCCAAGGCGTTACGTGCTAGCCGGCGCTTTCATCACACTTCCCTATTCTAGCCACTGTACCTCCACGAGCGCGCCGCAATATTGATGTCAGTTGCAGTGGGGATAAGTTAAGAACTATGCCCCCAAGAATGAGTAGTATTGGTTACGGTTCCGAGATACTAGGAGAAATGTTGTCCGGTGGTGTCAATTGACACGGCTAGGGCCGAAAGGGTTGAGACTATGACAGACTTGCCAATCCCCCACAGTGGGTATGTGCCATCTTCTGTCTGGCTCAAACAAAGTAAGACAAAACCGGACCTCATGAAGAGGAAGAAAAAGAAGAAGCGAGGAAAGAGCCTAGGTCTTACATCACTACGACTAAACGATTTTCTTGCTAAATCACGGCCTCACTATTTTTCTTCATTTTTTTCTGCCAACTTTATAGCGGCATTTCAAATCAAAACTAAGTTACAAAAGTTTTGTAGGAATAACGCAATGCTATTAACCTTATAATTAGCCAATCCCCTCCTTTGGGTACGAGCCATTTGCACAGGGAAACAACAACAACAACTACCTCTACAAGCAAGCTTGTTGCCGCGGTAGCACAATCAACGATTGACGTTTCAAGCTGTGAAATCTACAAACAAGGTAAAGTGAATTTTTCATGCACTCATTTTGTTTGAAATAGGGCCGCGATCGTCTGTTGAATGCTCGCGAGAACGCTCTTCACCTAAAAATCCATCTGTTTACAACGATGCATACTTGATAATTGGTCGCGCGTCTTTTTTTTTATCCCCCCCCAAAAAAAAAAGTTTTATATTTCACAAGCACCCCACAGAACATTGTTTCCTTTGGACTGAGAGCAGATGACGCGCCTGGGCTTCAGGTACTTCTTTTCACGGAAAGATGCTCGCTCCTTGTGGAGTACGTGCCTTTGTGTAAAGACGCAAATGGGTGAGCAGAAAAAAACGTGTTCACTTGATTGGCGAGGCTCGAACCGCGCAGCCCAGTGTGACATCTTTGTTTTCTGTTTGTTTTTTCATCAGAAAAAAAGGCTCTTTCAAGCTGTCACTGTGAAGCTCGTTGTAGCAAAACCACTTTGAAAAAGGGATTTAAAGCGCGTCTACAAATACGAAGAGCTTGACCGAAAAGCCTACCATTAGGCGTTCGCACAAGGGGGGCAAAGGGGGTGAGCGCCCCCCCTAGTCACCTGCGAGGGGGACGCTGAATCTGCTCTATACATTCACTAGGCAGCGGGGCACACTTTAAGAAGTCATCTAAAGGGGGGTGGGGGCGCAAAATCTGCCTCATACACCGAATTAATATGGAGGGAGCACACTGCAACGAACTTTCCCCCCCGGCCCCCCCTGAACGACAAGCACGCCTACGGGCCTGCCCCTTTCTATGCGGACCATTTCGCCGTTCACATTGAGCTCGAAGTGCCGGGAGATGTACCTACATACCTCTCATCGAAGTGCAGCTTGCACACAGCTAAGTTTTCTTGAAGCGGCTTGTCAGCGCGCGGGATCGCTCTCCGCCACTGCGCAGAGCTTTGTTCTTACTAACGCCGAACAACCAGACTTGTAGCCTGTAGCGCACCCCGGGACGAAGCAATGACTATTTTCGCGCCATGAGAGTGCATACAGAAGCATTGGTGTGAGAGTGCCACGGAATAATAAAAAAAAAACGAGGACGAACGCGTCTGACCAACGTATCGGAAACGTGCAAACAACGTGGATGGATGGATGGATGGATGTGGCGGTACCCTTTAGATCGGGCGGCGGCTAACGCCACCTAGCCGTAATACTTAGTGAACTAACCATTACATTTATCTTTTTTTTTCCTTTAAATAATGAAGCTGAGGATTCGTACTTCGCAGCGAAGGGTTTAATTTTCACTCGTGCCTTGACTTTAGCCCCCAATCAGATAACCTTCTTCTAGTTAAGTCTACCCGCTTGAAGTCTATTTTGCCCTCGCTGTCCCTAAACCCTAGTGCTTTGAAAAACTCTGCGCCATCATCCTGAACTATAGAGTGAAGCCCTTTACAGAACACTATCAAGTGTTCGGCAGTTTCTTCTTCCTCTCCACACGCACTGCACTCTGTGTCTACCCCTTCGTATTTGGTCCGATATGTCTTGGTTCGCAGTACTCCCTTCCTGGCCTCAAACAGTAGAGAACTACCCCGAGTATTGTCATAGATCAATTCCTTGGCAATTTCCTGCTTAAAAGTTCGATAGATCTCTAGTGCGGACTTCTTAATCATGCCCATTCTCCACATGTCAGTCTCCGTTTCCTTCACTTTCTTCTTAACCGAAAGTACTT